TAACTAACTTATTCCGTAAAATTGTGACAACATTTCACGGTAAGTATTGTAATTACAACATTCTTATATTTAACTAACTTATTCCGTAAAGTTGTGACAACATATCACGGTAAGTATTGTAATTACAACATTCTTATATTTAACTAACTTATTCCGTAAAGTTGTGACAACAAATCATGGTAAGTATTGTAATTACAACATTATTATATTTAACTAACTTATTCTGTAAAGTTGTGACAACAAATCATGGTAAGTATTGTAATTACAACATTATTATATTTAACTAACTTATTCCGTAAAGTTGTGACAACAAATCATGGTAAGTATTGTAATTACAACATTCTTATATTTAACTAACCTTATTCTGTAAAGTTGTGACAACAAATCATGGTAAGTATTGTAATTACAACATTATTATATTTAACTAACTTATTCTGTAAAGTTGTGACAACAAATCATGGTAAGTATTGTAATTACAACATTACTATATGTAACTAACTTATTCCGTAAAAAGAAGGAAGGGATTGAATTTTTCATACTTTCGTTGTGATGTCACGTGAATTATTAATTGTGATTCTTTCTTCGCAATATAAGCTGACTTACATTACATTTACAGGAGTTCGTTTGGTGTAAGTTTTGGTTCAATAAGTGACAGTAAAAGTAGTCTCTTTATCATCTTCATCGGGATTCAGTCCATGTTTTGGACGAGGGAAGGTCAGGTTCAGCGTTGACCTCTTCCTCCCTCTCAGGAATTGTTATTTTGTTTGCACTTTTACTGAACCCTAAGCAATAACCCTTGTTACGTTGTTGCATTGTTCACAGTGTGTTAGATTTTGTCCGTTGTCCACAGTTTTAATTAATATACCCTTTTCGTACCGCGTACAATTCATGGGGTAATATTAACTTGTATATTATTACTAGCTTCACTTATGTATGATCACACTAGTAGTTAAGATACGTGTCTTTTAGCTGAAAATCTTCGCTAGGAACTACTTTCTGCACGTAGATATACCAGCCACTAATACACTAGAGCACGACAAAAAATCGCTATTTATTTATTTTTACATTTCCTTAAAATAATAAAAACAACTTGTGATACCTTTCTCTCTATATTTGTTTTCTGAAACTGTACAATCAAGTAACTAATTATCTGTAAAATCATTTTCGATAAAAGGCAAGAAGTGAGAATAAATATTATCATTACGCTTTGTAGTAAAAAAATATTTTTATTATGTAACAATTTTATACAAGTAATTTTATTGTTACAATATTCAATACCTAAAATCAGTGATCAGTATTTCAAATTTTGACGACTCTGCCAGATTGTTTCTCTTTTTTTTTGGAGAGCCCTAGTTATTAGCGTGCCGGACTTTGGAGATGAGGTTCCATGGTTCGCGTCCCGTTACTACGAAATAAAATCATGTTCGACACTTTGGGGTAATGGGTGAGTTATAAGGATAACGGTCAAGTCTAACTATTTGTTTTGGTAAGAGTAGACCAAGAACTGACGGCGTGCGGTATTAACTAGTTGCCTTGCCAGTTGTGTATTACTTTCCATTACGTAGTAGTTTCATGCCTGGCGCCATCTGTCGGTATGAAAGTGTCAACATTGTAAATTATTCCTATCATACTTACGGATACTCGTAACCATGGGAAAAAGATTTTCTTGGTTTTATGTTAAGCACTAAGCAACATAATGGGCAATTTGTGCTCTGCCCACCACGGGTATCGAAACCCGGATTCTAGTGTTGTAAGTCCGCAGACATACCGCTGTGCCACTGGGGGGCTTTGGTTTTATGTTAAGCACTAAGCAACATAATGGGCTGTCTATGCTCTGCTCACCGTGGGTATCGCAACCCGACTTTTAGTGTTATAAGTGTACAGACTTGCCGCTGACCTACTGAGGGCGTGACGAAAAGAAGTAATTTTTATTTCTAAAATAAATTAGAAGGAAAGAAAACTTCACTGACTTGATTTTATCCATGACATTATTACACTAGGTGTTAAGGAAGAAGAGTAAGAAAACTTCACTGACTTGATTCTATACATGATATTATTACACTAGGTGTTAAGGAAGAAGAGTAAGAAAACGTCACTGACTTGATTCTATACATGATATTATTACACTAGGTGTTAAGGAAGAAGAGTAAGAAAACTTCACTGACTTGATTCTATACATGATATTGTTGCGTCGGCGAGATCACGTGACTATTCTCACGCCCTCTGCTTTCTAGAACTATCCTGTACCTTGGCGAATGCTCTAGCATTTACTAGATATAGGGTAGTCTGGTATATAAAAGAGGGTGACAACGTGACGAGGCAATGTGTGTGTAGGTAATGAGTAATTGAACTGCGGTCAGAGAGAGACGTATTGTTGAAGTTAACGTTCGTTCGTTATAGTGTTTGTTATAGCGCGACTGTTGAAAATAAGTGTATCGTAAAGTTGTATTCGGAAAGAATAAACCAGTTTTATTAAGTAAGGACTTGTGTCGCTAAAGTTTCGTCGGAACGAAGTTACGGAAGGTTAATTAACAAACGGAGACGTAACAATATTATTACACTAGGTGTTAAGGAAGAAGAGTAAGAAAACTTCACGGACTTGATTCTATCCATGATATTATTACACTAGGTGTTAAGGAAGAAGAGTAAGAAAACTTCACGGACTTGATTCTATCCATGATATTATTACACTAGGTGTTAAGGAAGAAGAGTAAGAAAACTTCACGGACTTGATTCTATCCATGATATTATTACACTAGGTGTTAAGGAAGAAGAGTAAGAAAACTTCACGGACTTGATTCTATCCATGATATTATTACACTAGGTGTTAAGGAAGAAGAGTAAGAAAACTTCACTGACTTGATTTTATCCATGAAATTATTACACTAGGTGTTAAGGAAGAAGAGTAAGAAAACTTCACTGACTTGATTCTATCCATGATATTATTACACTAGGTGTTAAGGAAGAAGAGTAAGAAAACTTCACGGACTTGATTCTATCCATGATATTATTACACTAGGTGTTAAGGAAGAAGAGTAAGAAAACTTCACTGACTTGATTCTATCCATGATATTATTACACTAGGTGTTAAGCCAGAAAAGTGTAAGAAAACTTCATGGACTTGATTTTATACATGATATTATTACACTAGGTGTTAAGGAAGAAGAGTAAGAATACTTCACTGACTTGATTCTATACATGATATTATTACACTAGGTGTTAAGGAAGAAGAGTAAGACACCATAATCAACACCATACTTGCGGCCAAACTATGAATACGGCGTTCATCTTTATTATTTCATCCTTAGTAATTACTATTTTGTTCTATGTTTGTAGACTAACCTATTTTGCTCTATATTTGTAGACTAACCTATTTTGCTGTATGTTTGTGGACTAATCTATTTTGTTCTATGTTTGTAGAGTAACCTATTTTGCTCTATGTTTGTAGACTGACCTATTTTGCTCTATGTTTGTAGACTAACCTATTTTGCTCTATGTTTGTAGACTAACCTATTTTGCTCTATGTTTGGAGACTAATCTATTTTGCTCTATGTTTGTAGACTAACCTATTTTGCTCTATGTTTGTAGACTAACCTATTTTGTTCTATGTTTGTAGACTAACCTATTTTACTCTATGTTTGTAGACTTACGTATTTTCCAAGAAGGTATGTTCGTGTGGTTGTTTTTATTGCATGGTTAGTCTACTAGAAACACAATTTTTAACATTTAGTTTGTTGCATAAGTCAGGTAATTGTTTAAATGGAGAGTGGGTAATAAATGTAGTCTTCCCTTCCACTGAGAAAGGTAGATGGTCTTTCCCTCCCTGCCACCCCCTTACAAGAAGTTAACTCCTAAAAACATCGTCATTCTGTAAATAGAAAAACTCACTCACCTCGTCCTTTTAATGGTGCTGTCGTAATGATAGGAAATGTGCTGGTACTGCCATCTAGGAATAAATAAATTAAACTGGTTTGTGTAATTATGTAAAATGTTAATTTCAAATTCATAATTTAAAAGAAAATCACCGCCTGTTGTCAGATTGATAAACAACTTTCATTTTGTATAACCAAAGAAATCTTCATCAAAATTTTAGGATTTATTTAAGTACTTTTGTTTAGTAACTGGTTAATGACGACTCACGCGTCTAACGAACATCTAACAATGACGCACATATATGTGTCAAGCGACTCACTCATTATACATAGATTCAGCTGTTAGTCTAGTTACTTTAATTGTTTGTTTGGGTTCATTATTTTGTATCCAGATCTTGAAGTATTTTTTTCATAATGTGGTTTCTGAGTAAGTTAAGACTGGCGGTCATTTCTAACTTATCCCGGATCGTGATGCTAATTGCATTTTTATCTAGAAATTGAAACATTAAACAAATAAATATTATCTTTATCTAATAACAAAACAATATCCTGCAATACTGTTGCCTAATGACAAACCTCGTCAATATTATATACAGATCACCATTAAAGGAGAATTAACTATATTTCTCTGGTTTGCTGACTCAAGCTCTCCACAGCTACGACCAATCAAAACATGCATTAGGCCTATGACCAATCAAAGCATGCATTAGGCCTCTTGACCAATCAAAGCATGTATTAGGCCTCTGACCAATCAAAGCATGCATTAGGCCTCTGACCAATAAAAGCATGCATTAGGCCTCTGACCAATCAAAGCATATATTAGGCCTCTGACCAATCAAAGCATGCATTAGGCCTCTGACCAATCAAAGCATGCATTAGGCCTCTGACCAATCAAAGCATGCATTAGGCCTCTGACAAATAAAATCATGCATTAGGCCCCTGACCAATCAAAGCATGCATTAGGCCTCTACATCACAGATTATATTTGCAATTTTAGTTTGGGTGAAAATAAAATAAATCTCATACGGCTTTGCCACTGGGGGACGTATAGTTTGGTTTGTTTTGAATTTCGCACGAGGGCTATCTGAGTTAGCCGCCCTAGTTTAGCAGTGACAGAGTAGAGGGAAGGTAGCTAGTCAACACCACCCACCGCCAACTATTGAGCTACTCTTTTACCAACGAACTGTGGGATTGACGGTCACATTATAACGCCCCACGGCTGAAAGGGCCAGCATGTTCGGTGACGAGGATGCTGTGATTATATAATGATAATTTCGATCAATAAAATATCCGTAAATTATCCAAACAATTACAATAAAGTCTTCAAACTAAACTTAGCTGCGTGAAAAAAAATGAAAGTGTTTCAAATATTAACTTTTGTCTTTCCATTATTCATCCTCGAAACATTGTGTCAAAATTAAAAATTACTAAGAACCATCAGATTCAGAGAATTGACTACGTTATATTACAGCGACTTCGAATATGCAAAGGAGAAATTCATGTGACAACCACATACAATATTAAATAGCACTGGAACGGCATATAAGAACTATATTTTGACGCTGTTTGGCATTTCGTAATGTGACAATCATATCCACCGCAAAATATTCATACACTCAGATCATAAAGATAGGCTTACATTAGAGATTTAGAATCTCCAAGATAAGCAATGTAATATGGATTACCTTGGGGTTTCTGGACAATACAAAAAGAGACTTGCAACAAGTCGTAACCCAGGCATGGAAAGCAAAATGCAGTGTCTTATAATACAAAAGTCAGTGGCAAAAACCATTCACGTGTTTCACCACATCGCTGCAGTCATCGCTGTCATGCTCTATCTGACGACCGTACACCTCGGCAATAAAACTACAGTGTAGTTTCTGTTTCAAAAAGTTCCTTCATAAGCCCAAAGCACGCCACTCCTTCCAGCTTTATTTCCATAATCCATCTAATGTGGGAAGATGATGGTTTCTTAGTATCCGTTTCAACAATCCTATCACACAGAAATCCAAAGGCGCATTATTATGGAATGAAATTAATATTCATTTCGTTCTTTATTTGCTTGAGGTGTGCATTGAAAGAACAGGTATGTGCTTATGAACAAATGACTTCTTCGCTTTTACAAACGAAGATATATTTTGCTTATGATGCCTGGGACACTTGGACGGATTTTGTCACTGACCTTTGTTTTCGTGGATTGTCACCTCATAGAAGACACCACACTTTGCTTTCTATGATTTAGGTACGACTTGTTGCAGGTCTCTTTCTCAAAGTTCCTGGTTCCCAAGTTAATTCATATTCCTTTGGTTTCCTATATCATTATATACAAGCAAAATACCCATCTTGGGAATTTTAATTCCTTGATCTGAACACATCTTTATGACCTGAGTATATGAATATTTTACATCAGGAAAGGATGTTGTATACACTTCCCAGAAGTTGTAATTTTTAGGGGACATCGCACAATCTACAAAACGCAAATAAAAAAGAATCAAGTTTTAATCATGTTTATCAATTTATCATTTGTTACCTTTTATTTCAGTTATATCTACTCATCTCTTGCGGAACAACAGACACTCAATATTGTTTTACATAAATACCTTCTTTCTTGATTGGATCACCGAAAAATATTGATATTTCAAGTTACCAGTAAATTATAAATACAATACAAAATACGTTTAGAAAAGTTATACAACTATTTATTGTTTCAACTGATGACTACTGTTACCAACCCCTTATAACTATTAATATAGTTGTTGAAGTTAAACTTTGTGTCTACCTCCCTACGTACGTGTGTGTCTTACCTTTACTCGTATGTAGATCTTCCACTACAGAGGAAGCTGGTGATGTATTAGTACAGATATCTGAGTAGACAAAGTGAAAGATATTAAACACAGTATAACAGCCAGCGAGAAACGTTAGTATCGGAGTTGTAGTAGAACGACAAAAATATATTTCTTGTTGAAAAGTAATAGTAAAAAAGATTTCTTAAGTCTAAACTTTCAATGTAGTTAAAACAAAAACAGGCGAAATAGCAGGAAAATAAACGTTACTGTATTTGTAATAGGTAAAATCCAACTACAAACAAAATAAATAAAGATTGAAAAATAAATAATCCAAATACAAAAAATAAATAAATGTCCAAACAGAAAGAATCCAAATACAAACAAAATATATTGAGATACAAGCAGAAAAAAATCCAAATACAAACAGAAAGAATCTAAATACAAACAAAATAAATTAAAAATTTGTATTTTTATATATTTTGTTTGTATTTGGATTCTTTCTGTTTGTATTTTTATTAGTTTTTTTATATTTGTATTCTTTCTGTTTGTAAGAAAGAATCTAAATACAAACCAAATAAATATGAATACAAACAGAAATAATTCAAATACAAACAAAATAAATAAAAATACAAACAGAAAGAATCCAAACACAGACAGATATAATACAGTTAGAACTAGTAATTTTCTCCTAAACAGAAAGAAAACAAACGCAAATAAGGGATTTTACTTAAAAGAAATAATAAGGATAAGAGTAGGGGATGGACATTTACTGAACAGGGATAATCCAGATACAACTTGGGTAGTTTCGTAAACAGGGATAATCCAGATACAACTTGGGTAGTTTCGTAAACAGGGATAATCCAGGTACAACTACTAGAGTAGTTTCTGTAAACAGGGATAATCCAGGTACAACTACCAGAGTAGTTTCTGTAAACAGGTGTAATCCAGGTACAACTACCAGAGTAGTTTCTGTTAACAGGTATAATCCAGGTACAACTACCAGAGTAGTTTCTGTAAACAGGTATAACTAGGGTAGTTTCCGTAAACAGGTATAATCCAGGTACAACTACCAGAGTAGTTTCTGTAAACAGGTGTAATCCAGGTACAACTACCAGAGTAGTTTCTGTTAACAGGTATAATCCAGGTACAACTACCAGGGTAGTTTCTGTAAACAGGTATAACTAGAGTAGTTTCCGTAAACAAGAATAATCCAGGTACAACTAGGGTAGTTTTAGTATCTGAATTATTCCTGTCTACGAAAACTACCTTATTTATACCTGGATTATTTCTACTCACGAGACTTGAATAAGTAAGATTTTAGAAATTAGCCTTAATTTTCCAAGACTTGGGTAAGTAAGATTCTAAAAACTAGCCTCAACTTTCTAAGACTTGGGTAAATAAGATTCTGAAAACTAGTTTCAATTTTCTAAGACTTGGGTAAATAAGATTCTAAAACTAGTTTCAATTTTCTAAGACTTGGGTAAATAAGATTCTAAAACTAGTTTCAATTTTCTAAGACTTGGGTAAATAAGATTCTAAAAAACTAGTTTCAATTTTCCAAGACTTGGGTAAATAAGATTCTGACAACTAGTTTCAATTTTCCAAGACTTGGGTAAATAAGATTCTGACAACTAGTTTCAATTTTTCAAGACTTGGGTAAATAAGATTCTGACAACTAGTTTCAATTTTCCAAGACTTGGGTAAGTAAGATTCTGATAACTAGTTTCAATTTTCCAAGACTTGAGTAAATAAGATTCTGACAACTAGTTTCAATTTTCCAAGACTTGGGTAAATAAGATTCTAACAACTAGTTTCAATTTTCCAAGAATAGGATGCAATGTCCCACGAAACAATATTGAAATATTTTTTGCATTTGTAACAAAACAGAAAATACTCCTTTTATAGCAGGGAATGAATGAAAAAAAATATCAAAACCTTGAGGTCAGAAATGTTGCATTTGACTGGTTTAACACACACTGAAACAATTCCTTCCAAGTATCACACGGTTAACAAAGTAATATAC